GAGGGTTACGCCGCGCCACTGCGTCCGGCTTGGGGTGTTGGAAGGGTGGGAGTCCTTGGGGTTGCGCAGCCCCACAAAATCCTCCATGGGCTGTGCCGAGGGGTGGCTGCTGCGTCCGGCCCTGGCGTGGCGATGCTGGGGGCGGGGTGATGCTCATCCTCCATGGGTGCTGCTCCACACTGATGCTGCTTCTCCATCCCCTGGTGGTGCCCGAAGCGGGTGCCAAAGCCCCCTGTCCGCGCTTGCCCATCGGCAGCGTTCCCCGGGGTGCTCCGGTGTCACTGTCCCTGGCCGGTGCCCCCCGAGGGGGCAGAGAGAAGACAGGCGATGCCCTCTCCTCCGGTCCTGTCTCTGCAGCCCCTTGGCTGCTCTGCCCTCACATCCTTTCCCAAAAATGGGAAAAAAATAGCCCTTCCCAGGGGGTGCTCCCCTCTGCTGGTGGACGCACTCCCGAATCTGGCGGGAAGCAGGCGAAAACCTCGCAGGAGCCCAAAAAGAAAAAAAAAAACAACCCCAAATCATGGGGATTTCTGGAAGAGCACGACCCGCTTTGGCCGCAGCCCAGCTCTCGTCGCCTCCAAGCCCCCGGCTGCAGGATGGTGCTGGGGTGGGCACCCCCACCCCGTGCCATGCAAACCGAGCTGGGGCCACCCCATAAGTTCTGGGGCACCCCAAAACCCCCTGGGGTGTTTTTCTTTCCTGCTCTCCTGCAAGCAAAAGGGGACCCGGGGCTGGGCAGTACTCACCGTGGACGCGAGAGCTCCTTTCCTCTGGGACCGAGTCCCGATGCGCCTTTGGTATAAATACCAGCGAGCCTGTGAAACCTCAGAGGCGGATCCTCTCTAAACAAAGACCCTAAATAGGCTAAATGATGGTGTGTTAGCCATATGGCCATATAAGGTGTTTTATTTCATTAAATTGACCTTGGACTGATGGTAGGACCCAGCACGGTTAATTATTGTAAGAAAAATGTATGCGGGGATGCTTGGGAGGCAACATCCCATTTGTAAGTCTGTGCCTTTTATGCTCCGCTCCGATAAACAAGTGAGACACAAGTCCTTATAAGTGACAGTCTCGGCAAAAAGGAGGTGGAAGCATCTCCGGTTCCTGGGGAGAGCGTGGAGAAACCCCACCCGGGTGGAGGTGGGTGTCGGGGCTCTGCCATGGGGGACACCCTGGAGCCGGGATGGGAATTTGGCATTGCCGAGACACTGGAAACGCAGCGGGTCGGTGCGTTGCTTCCTCCCGGCCTCAGTTCCCCTGTGTCTCCCCAGCGTCTGGCACCTTTGGGATGTCTCTCCCTGGGGTTTTCTCCCTCTGCCCCCCTTTTTTGGCCTTTCAGTGCCCCAAAGCCCCTTGTCCCCCAAATCCTCAGCTGGAGCAGGGCCAGGACTGGTGGGTCCGAAGCCCAACCCTGTGTTATGGGTGCACCCAGCTCTCACCCTCACCCCGGGAGGATTTTGGAGGCAGGATGAGCCCAGACCCCCCCAAAGGGTAATGTGGGTGCTGTCCCCTGATCCCCCTGCCCGAAATGCAGCAGGGAGGGGGCCAGAGCCACCCCTGGCCCTGCAGATGCAGCCTTGGCAGGAGGTGAGCGGAGCCGCAGCAGCAGCCGTGGCCCTCGCAGAGGCCAACCAGCGGCTGCCAAACTCCCGGCTGCCTTTTTAAGGGCAACGGTCCCGCACCGGGGACTCTCCCCAAGCACCCAGGCCAGGGACAGAGGCAGGAGAGACGCCTCGGAGCCACCACCCAGAGCTACAGGGACTCAGGTTGCAGATGGGGAAACTGAGGCACGGGGTGCCTGAGCTGCCTCCTGCTCTGCTTTGTGGGGTCCCGAGCTGTGCTCAGGGCGGGGAGATCAAGGCACCGGTGCAGCAATGAGGACCACGAGCTGCAGGGTCTCACCACCACCAGGAGGGACCCAAGAGTCCTGGTGTGTGTCCCCAGCCCCGGAGGGAGGGAACGGATTCTGGGTTGTCACCCTGAGGGGCAGGACAGGGACACAGCGTCTCCCCGGCACGGCCAGCCCACTCACACCTCCAACAATGTCCCCAGTGTCCCCAGTCGGGGGCTCTGCCCTGGTTAGCCCCTTTCCTCCAGGAAAACCTCAGCACACGGGGGGTGGATTTGTCCCCTGGGTACCCTGGCCCTGCACTTGCTGGTGTCCCCACCGCATGCCCCGAGCCCTGGGGACCTGCTGCCGCCTCGCATCCCAGCTGCGTTCCCTTGGTCCACGGCCAAACACACGGTCACCGAGGCAAAAGGTTGCCATATATGACATGCTGCAAA